CTTCCCCCAAGCAAAAGCTGATCTGATTTCTGTCAGAATAGATTAGGCTGGATTTTCTAGAGCTTTTATAAATACAATCATACAAATTTACTTTTTTTTTTTTGGTCTGACTTTTGTCACTTGGCATAATTATTTGAGATGCGTTCATGTTGTAGTGTGTATCACTACTTCATTCCTTTTTATATTTTGGATATATTTGTTTTCTTGTATTTTTATATATTGTATATAATTTTTATGTATGTTTTAATACGAATTTATATATTACATATTTATATTATTTTACATTATTTATCATATATCTACATTGTGTAGATATATTGTAGTTCATACCTGTTGGCAGGCATTTGGGTTGTTTCCAGCTTTTGGCTATTATATGTAATGCTGCTATAAACATTCATGCACAAGGCTCTATATGAATATATATTTCCTTTCCTTTCGAGTAAACACCTAGAAGTGGAAAGGCCTAATTATATGATAGATGTATATTTAGCTTTTAAGAAACTATCAAACAGGTTTCCAAAATGGTTGTGCATTTTTCCATTCTACCAACAGTTTATGAGCGTTCTGGAGCCATGGTGTCCTCAGACATTTTAATTTTAGCCTTTGTAATAGGTCTTTTACTGGTATCTCATAGAGATTTTAATTTATATTTGCCTAATGATTAATAATGTTGAGCAGCTTTTCATGTCATCCAGTTATCTTTGGTGAAGTGTCCAAATTTTTTGCCCGTTTTTCTAATTGGATTGTTTGTCTTCATATTGCTAAATTTTGAGAGTTCTTTAAATATACTTGATAAAAATCCTCTAAATCCAGATTTAAGCTTTAAAAATATTTTCTCCCAGTCTATAGCTTGTCTTTCGATTCTCTTTAAAGTATCTTTTGAAGAGAAGTTTTTAATTTTTATTCAGTACAACTTATCAATTTGTTCTTCTATGACTTGTGCTTTTGATGTATCTAAGAAATCTTAGCCTAACCCAAGGTTATAAAAACTTTCTCCTATTTTTCTTCTATTGCATAATTTTAGATTTTACATTTAGGATTATGGTCCATTTTGGGTTAATTTTTATTTATAATGTAAAATACAGATTCAAGTTCATTTTCAGGCATATGGTTACCCAATTGTTCCAGCACCATTTCTTGAAAAGACTTTCTTCACTGAATTGCCTCTGAATGTTCGTCCAAAATCAGCTGTCCTTATATACAAAGGTCTATTTCTAAACTCTCCATTCTGTACTATTGACCTATTTTGTTTACACCACACTGTGAGGATTACTCTAGCTTTATAGTAAGTCTTGAAAGCAGGTAATGTTAGCCTTTCAAATTTCTTTTTCTTTTTCCAAGTTGTTTGGTCAATTACTCTAGATCCTTTATATTCACATATGAATTTAAAAATAAATTTATAAATTTATATACCTCCCTTGTCCCCCAACACACACAGAAAAGCAAAGCCTGCTGATATTTTGAGTTGGATTGTATTGATCTAAAGATCAATTTGGGGAGGACTGACATCTTAACAATATTGAGTCTTTTGACCCATGAATGTAGTATATCTCTCCATTTACTTAGGTTTTCTTGTTTTTTTTAAGTGATGTATTATAGTTTTCAGTGTATGTCTTTCACATCTTTTGTAAGATTTATCCTTAAGTACTTCTTGATTTTGTTGTAGATGATATTGTTTTTTAGATATTTTCATTTCTGATCATATGTTGTTAGTATGTAGAAATGCAATAGACTTCTTTTTTATAGATCTTATATCCTGCAGTCTTGCTAAACTCATTTATTAGTTCTGTTAGTGTTTTCATCGAGTCCCTGGTTTTCTTAATGGACAGTAATGGTATCTTCAAACAATGACAGTTTTACTTCTTTGTCCCCAGTCTGGGAGTCTTTTATTTCTTTCCTGTCCTTATTGCACTGGCTAGAACCTGCCATACAAGGTTGACTAGAAGACATCCTCATCTTATTGGGGATTTCAGTGAGAAAGCATTTAGTCTACCCCCTTGACAAGTTCTATGAGTTCAGTGTTTCTACATTTTCATGTGCTGAAAGAAATACCTTCCCTAAGTATTCTTAATTTCTTCTCAGTAGTCAGTATTTCATGACCACAAAGTATAATTATGGTAATTTTTATAAATGTTATTTTTTACTATTATAAATATAATGCAATTTCACTATAAAAAAGTTTTGGAAATTCATAAAAATGCAAAGAAAATGAAAATTACTGCAAATCCAAATCCATGTACTACTGCAATACTTTTTGATTATTCTTCTTTATATACTACTGAAATATTTTGATTATTCTTCCATAATTACATGTAATTGTGTATATGAACATATACATATATATATATATATACACAGTATACTTTTAATTTGGTATTGTGCTGTGTAGAAAACTTTATATATTAACCTCTGCTTCTAGTTATGATGAAGTAGCTTGATTCACACAAACCCTCCTGTTATGAACTACCATGAAAATTGAGAAAACTGCTGCTGTTTGAAGGCATTGGGGAGCAGCCAAGAAAGCCACGATTTAGGGGATCAAATTGAAGCACAGAGAAGAACAAGTGTAGGAAACACAGAAAAGAGCATGAAGGCCAACATACATGTAACTGGAGTCTCAGTAAGAGGGACAAGAGAGAATGAGATAGAACCAAAACTAGGAGAATGCTGAGCATTTTCCAAACCTTAAAAAAAAAAAGAAATGAAATCAAGTCACATATTTTAGAAGCTCTAAAAATTCAAACCTGGATAAATATAAAAGAAGTCACTCCTAGCCCATCATAGTTTACCATCTGAAAGACAAAATTGAAGACATAATTTAAAAACAGTTACAGAAAAGGGCATCGAAGAGCTATAATAAGGCAGGAAACTACTTTGCCAATAGAAAAAATGGAAGCAATAGTAAAATGGAATGTCATTTAAATTGCTGAAATAAAACAAGTGAAAGTCTAGTATTTCATATCCAGTTTTTATTTCAGCAATTTAAACAAAAGCATGTAGAACCAATAAGTTAATGAAGTAGGAAAAACTGAATAGTAAAAGAATTAATTTTGATCCAAAAGAATGTAAGAAATGGGAAAGGGATGGAAATAAGGAGAAACAGAGAATGAAGAATAATATAGTAGATACACCCAAATATCATACAACTACATTAATAAAATATGAACTAAATACTCCAATTTAAGGACAAATATTGTCAGACTGGATTAAAAAACCTACATCAGGCTTACATGGGACACATTTTATTTTATTTTTTATTACAATATAGTTGACATACAAATTGGTTTCAAATATACAACAGAGTGATTTGATAATTATATACATTACTAAATATAATTGCAATAAGTGTAGTTATGGCCTGCTACCATGCTAAGATATTACAATATTATTGGTTATATTTTCTGTGTTGTAGGGATATATTTTAAATATAAGGACACAGAAAGGTTTCAAGCAAAAGGATTTAAGAAAAGATATTCCAAGATAATACTAAGAGAAATATAACTGGTATAGCTGTAATATCAAAGGAGAAAACATAGAACAGGAATTATAATCCAGTTAAAAAAAGATACTGTATAATGATGAGTCCATTCCACAGGGAAATATGGCAATCTTAAGTTTGGGTGCACTTAATAAAATAGTATCAAATTGTGTAGCAAAAATTGACAAAAGCATAAATAGGAAAATCCACTATCATTGATGAATACTTTTTAACAATCTTGGTAACTGATAAAACCACCAGATAAAAATACCAATAGAGAGATTTTAACAACACAATAATAAATATGACTGGTTGACATATGTAGAGTTTTGTGTTCAACAAATGCAAAACACATGTTATTTTCAAGAATACATGAAATAATTAGAAAAGTAACCATGTGCTACTGGGCAATGTTTCAACAAATGCCAGTGAATTGAAATCACACTGTGTTCTCTGTCCACAGTGTAATTAAGCTAGAAATCAATCATTTAAAAACTAGAAAATCCCAAATATTTGATGATTAAGCAACTGTTCACATATGTATATACACACAGACATACATTTGTGTTATATGTTATATATGTTTCGAATATATCTTCCATTTTTGTTTCGCTTAACATTATATGGTGCTTTCTCACAAGTTTTGCTCATGGACAAAGCCTAACTTTCTTGTCATTTTCTTTACATGAAACTGCAGAGAAGCCAAATTTATGTAGTTCCTAGTAAAAGAGAACAGAGTGGTTAAAGGAAAGCATTTGTATTTCTGCCACCAGAGGCTTCTTCCACTGGTTCTTCCAGCCTTTCTCAGTAGCTCAGACTCTCTCTTCAGATGATTCATGAAGGACCAGAAATGCACTTTATTTGGGCTTTGCCTGCTCTTGTGGAAGGGAACTTTTTTAGAGGGAAGTGGGGTAGAATCCCATGTTTTAATTTGCTGACTTCCCCAAAGGGAAGGTGGAAGAAGAAAATAAGAATCCAAGATAACTAACATTGAGGTTATTTCACTCAGTCCTCAAACGTGAGGTGTCTGGGGTGAGTTTCCCTTTTTGCAGAGGAAGAACTCAAAGTTCAGTGACACAGCAGCATTGGAGCCCAGGGAGGCCCTGCTCTGCTTCAATGGCAGCACTGCTGGGACAGCAGGGCAGAATCAGGACAGTGTGTTGGGCAACTTGTAACATTTAGGAAACATGCATTAAGTCCTGGTATCCTCAAAGGCTTTCAGAAGCAGTTTGTCTTGGTTAATAAAGCCATTACACACATTTTTAGAAAGCCTAAAGTATCTCAAATTGTCCACAATTATTTGTTACTAACAATCTTGTAACCTTGTGAAGACCAAAGTACTATACACATCCAGTGATTTGCATTTTAAAATTGCATTCACTTTTCCCTTTTGTATAGCAATGTGGTATAAATGTAACTTTAATTTAAAATTACATTAGGTATGTGGGGGGTGGGAGGCGGGGGGAAATAAGTGAAGGAGATAAAGAGGCACAGGCTTCCTATTATAAAATAAGTAAGTCAGGGGATGAAATGTACAGTATAGGGAATACCTCAATAATATTGTAATATCTTTGTATGGTGATGATGGTAACTATACATGGTGGTGAGCATTTACTAATGTATGTAACTTTGAATTACTATATATCTGAAACCAATATAATATTGTATATCGACTATAGTTGAATAAAAAATTACTTTAGCCCCCAGTATTTAAGAAATGGAATTGGAGCCTCAATCACATTGTTCTTTAAAAATAAACCTGTAACACCCTAGCTTTGTTTTTCTTGAATTTAATTTTAAAAAGAAGAGCTTTTAAGTAATTTAAATAGAGACAGGTTACACCACTGGAAGAAAAGAATTCCTTAATTTTTGAGTAATGCTTTCCTCACTCTGTGGCTGTTCCGCTTGGGGTGGGAGGGGGAGGCGGGCGGTCAGCCTAATGCAGTTGCGGCTGCGCAGCCCCGAGCATCCCGAGTGGTCCCGACCTGGAGGCGCCAGCGCCCGCCTGGGGCAGAGGGAGACTGACGCGCTTGGGCTGCTGCCGCAACCTCCCCAAAGCCCTCTGCCTCCCTACCGCTCCAGAGCAGGCAGGCCAGCCCCTGCGCCGGCCAGGTGAGCAGACGCTGCAGTCGCGCTTGCAGTTTCCGAGGGCGCACGGAACCTAGGGGCACCAAAGCTTGTCACTGCAGAATGTGCCGGGGGATCCCCGGACTGTAGGGTGCCCTAAAGCAGGAGAGAGGGGTTTGCATTTTTCCAACAAAGGGTAAGAACTCTTTTCTCTCTAGCACTTATTTGACGTATTCAACTGGTTAGAATAAGATCTCAACAGGTAGCAGGGAGCGATGACGTGGGAGCAGTTTTGGGGCGCCCACCACCTATCTCCTAGGACCCGCACCTCTCCCTACAGTTGCACGTGGGCAATACTAACCCGCACTTTGAACCCTGCTTTGCAGCCTCCTGAGTCCGCGCAACGGCGTGCTAGGAAGGCAGCCGGGAACGCGCCTCCAGGAAAGACATCGCGCCGAAGCCGGCTTCGGGACCAGAGCCCCACCGGGCGGGGCTGGGAAGGGGTAGTCCTCTCTTCAGCCCTCGCCGAGATGCCCAACGCTTCGAGTCCCGAGCCGGGACTGGCCTGCCCCAACGCGTCGAGCCCGCAGCCACCGCCGCTGCCGCCGTCGCTGGCCGTGGCCGTGCCGGTCGCCTACGCGGTGATCTGCGCCTTGGGGCTGGCGGGCAACTCGGCGGTGCTGTACGTGCTGCTGCGGGCGCCGCACACCCATACGGTCACCAACGTATTCATCCTGAACCTGGCCATCGCCGACGAGCTCTTCACGCTGGTGCTGCCCGTCAACATCGCCGACTTCCTGCTGCAGCGGTGGCCCTTCGGGGAACTCATGTGCAAGCTCGTTGTGGCCATCGACCAGTACAACACCTTCTCCAGCCTCTACTTCCTCGTGGTCATGAGCGCCGACCGCTACCTGGTGGTGCTGGCCAGCGCCGCGTCGCGCCGGGTGGCCGGCCGCTCGTGCCGCGTCGCGCGCGCAGTGAGCCTGGCGGTGTGGGGGCTGGTGACGCTGCTGGTGCTGCCCTTCGCGGTCTTCGCCCGGCTCGACGACGAGCAGGGCCGGCGCCAGTGCGTACTAGTCTTCCCGCAGCCCGAGGCCTTCTGGTGGCGGGCGAGCCGCCTCTACACGTTTGTGCTGGGCTTCGCAGTGCCTGTGTCCACCATCTGCGTCCTCTACACCACCCTGCTGTGCCGGCTGCACGCCATACGGCTGGACAGTCACTCCAAGGCGCTGGGCCGCGCTAAGAAGCGGGTGACTCTCCTGGTGGCGGCCATTCTGGCGGTGTGTCTCCTCTGCTGGACGCCCTACCACCTGAGCACCGTGGTGGCGCTCACCACCGATCTCCCGCAGACGCCGCTGGTCGTCGCCGTCTCCTACTTCATCACTAGCCTGAGCTACGCAAACAGCTGCCTCAACCCCTTTCTCTACGCCTTCCTGGACGACAGCTTCCGCAGGAGCCTCCGCCAGCTGCTGGCCTGCCGCGCCACCGCCTGACAGCCCGCCAGGCCTTCCCGGCCCCGCGCCGGGGTTGGGGAAGCCCGCGCGCTTCCGCCAAGGAACTTGTGGAGACGTGGATCCTCGGGCTCCACCTCAGCCCTAGTGAAGCCCACGCGCCCTGGCTGTGCCCGCAGTCTGAATCAGCCGAGCCTCCCGGGGATGCAGGAGCACCGAGTGTGAGGACCAAAGAGAACACACACTGGCCGCTCCCTAATGCCAAAGGGCACCGAGTCCACCCCGAAGTAGACACGGGAGAGGTGAGGGGCGGGAAGGGGTGGCATTGCCGGGAGCCTTTTCGCCTTCTCTCCTCCCCTCGCCCCAAAACTGTCCGTCTGCCAGGCTCTAAGTGGCGTCCTGGACGCGAGGAGGGGAGGCCCGAGGGTGCCGCGGCATCGGCTCCACACTCGCCACAGCACTTCGTATCTTCCTCCAGGCAGCGATTATTTGTGCTTTTGTTCAGGCTGGCGGGCAGCGCCTGGGTCTTCCCCGCCCTGTAGGCTCTCTGTGGCCACCAAGAGCACGGGGATGGCTGCCTGAGCCTCTGAGACAGGGAGACAGGGGAAAGCGCGCGCGCGCGCGCGTGTGTGCACGTGTGTGCATGCGCGCGTGCGGGGGGTGTTGTGGGTGTTGATTGTGTGCGTAAGCGCGCGTATCCCGGGAGGCATGGGGTTTGTGTGAAGGAGGGTAGAGCTTGGCTGTGACCGCCTCTCACGGTGTTAAGAACAGGGATAAGCCCTTCCCGCTGCAGCCCCTCTCTCCTGGCATTCCGCTCTCCTACCCCTTCTCTTGCTTGAAAACGCTGGGTAGTCGGACACTCCCACCCGCAGGTCGCCGGGGACAGGCGCGGAGTCGGTCGGGCGCGCGGTTGCGGCGCCCTCTTGCGGAGCTAGCTGCCCAGCGCCGAGCATCTCAACGTGCAGCCCCGCACCTACTAACCTCTTGATCACACCGCGCTGACAAAGTCGCCGCTTCCTTCCACATATGACTTCGTTTTTCCCACACCCTTTGCCCGAGTCTCCTACGACCTGGACCAGTACGCTGCAATTCTTTATGTATTGAATTTTCAGGCCTGAGAATTTTATAAATACGTATGCACTAATCTCACAAGTTTCTGTGAGGAGCGAATGAGATGAAAGAGAAATGGCCTATCTATTCCTTCGTTCCCTTTCTCCTGGTATTCCTTAGCCCCTTCGTCCTACGGAGAGTCGGGAAGCTGCAGAGGCCTCGGCCCTCTTATTTCCCTCTCCTGGATTCCTTTCTACAGGGAGCTGTGGATAACGTATCCTTTCTTCTTTAAAGCCAGTTGGGTCAACCTGGTAAATATTTGGTTCTGTAATCACATGGGAGACCGGCCAGTGCCCTACGTTTATTGTATCTCTACTTAATGGAGACAAAGTGGATTAAGAGAGAGGACTGACACTTGGGTTTGCCCAGCCTTCTGCAGTGTACTCTTCAGACACGAGGGCAGAGCCTTAACCAAACTGTTGATTGGTTAGTTTTAAAAGATCTTTTTTTTTTTTCCTTTGGGGGTGAATTCCAAACAGGAATGAAAATTTCTCTAAATATTTGTTTCCTGTGGCTCAGTGAAATGTTTGAGAAAGAATGTGAGTGTTGCCAGGTGATTTTGTTTACTTATTTTGGTGGGCATTAATCAATTTCTCAGTTATTTAGGTATAAAATACTTTGAAAAAATATATAGAAGAGAAAAACTCTCCTTTGGCTAGGAGGAAGCAAACTCCCGCTCTGATTTTGGTGAATGAGAATTGCTTCTTTAGTTCTTAAAATTATTAAGAACAATTAGATAATGCATAGCTATCAATTTTGAAAATGTACATTTAGAAACCTACCTTGGGTAACCAATAATAGTAAATTGTTCAAAATACAGTTTTTCATCTCCAATAGATTTTGAAATGATGGCCACTATGGCATTTAAACAGTCCTCTGATGGTGGGCTTTAGAGGCCTCTTGGAATTCATTGTGGTGTCTTTCAAATTTCTTGGAAACATTTTGTTGGTTTTTTTGTGACTCACAAAATTCTTTTATGAATCCTCTGTAATTTTTTAAAATTCAAGTTTTAAGCTTACACTGTCTAAGGGGATGGATAAAGAGTAAAGTGAACATTTGGCTGCAAACACAGCCAGGCATAATCATCTGGATTTGAACTGCATCTGTCTTCATATACTCAGTAGCTGTACATTGACATTCTCTGAGCACAGACTGGGGGAGAGCCACGTGACCCAGCTGTGACATCGCTGTGTTGTACTTAGCAAGGCATGACCGGCATCCCAATATGGCGTATGTGTGATTAAATAGGGTTCAGTAGTTCGGCTTCACCCTGGCTTTCCAAATCATTGGATAAATTGTTGTATCATTATTCCCAGGTTCTGGCCTTCATGTTAGCATGTAGAAGTCCAAACTGTATGTCTTAGTCTTCCTTTTTATGGCTTAGGTACTAGGTAGAATAAATGCAAATAACTGTGCAAAAATAGAATTTATTTACCTCATTGTATTGAAAAACTTTTTAACTGTGTTGAATTCTTGCAGCCTTCATGTAACTCCTGTTTGTTAGACCACCTCTGATATTTTTAAATGCCTATTTGGTTTTGGTTACTTAGCAGTTTTATGTAATATACGTACTTAGGCTTTCTCTTGAGAAATGCAGAAGGTCTGTTGGTCCACACTGATGGAAGTTCAATTCAAAATAAAAACTGAAACATTCTGTGTAATACATGAATATCCTATTGCCTGAGAAAATGGGCTCCACAATTCAGTCACCTTAGTATTTATGTGTTGATTTTTAAAATGCTGCCTTCATGGAGGAGTTATCTGATGGGTGAGCAGTGTCTAAACAGAACTGTTTGACAGGACAAGATTAAGAATGAAGTCCCCTCCCTTTTATTTTGACTTATTGTGAGAATGATGTAAAACTGCCCAAAAACTCTGCTGGGCAGAAAAAGATGATAAGCTTTTATCCTGTAATCACAAACTTCATTTCTGAAATATTTGAGCAGCTTGTGGGAAGAGTGAGAAGGGAAGAGAAATCACTTAGGTTATTAGTACACTACACACACATTGCTGTTCCAGCCAACAGGAAGCCAGACATGGCTCAAATTCGTGCAAGGTAGAGAATCTAACCAGTAAAGCCCTTGAATTTATTGAAAACTCCCCCTTTCCCAGTAACATGCTGGGAAAATGACAACAAACAATATCCCATCATGGATGGCAACCATCTGTGCTTATCCATGTTGAGGAAGAGATCAGAATGCTTCACATAAAGGTCTCTTTTTAAGGCAGCTTTGGGTTTGGACCTTTGGTCACCATTTTATATGCAGAGAAACTGAGATACTGCAAAGTGGGTTGATTTGGCCAGGCCCACAAGATCAATCAAGACCAATCAGAACCATCTGCTTCCCCTTCTAGGAATTGGCTCAACCTATTCCAGCAGAGATGAAATTGGCTGTAATGTATAATTTGGAATTATTAGACCATAGAAAACATTGATGTCTTTGAAATAGTGGATGAAGCAAGATACATACTATTATATTATGTGATACAAAGGGAAAATAAGATTTAATAATAAAACTTCAATCCTAACTCAGAATCATGAAAGTCTATGGTGTTGTTAAATGTTATATAATAATTCCTTTACCAGGGCTGGCTGCACTCATTATTCAACTTCAAAAGCTCCATAAACATTGTAATCTGCATGCTTTGGACATATGGAGCTGTGTTCAGGGTGGACCACTGATGCAGAATAGAACATTGATGGCATTTCTATTTATATAGAACAGAATTTTGCAATGGATGGTGTTATCCTTAAATTTAGGGAAAGGTACATTTATGTATCCATATCATATCTCACAAGGTTACATCATATCACATCAATTAAAAGAAAAAAATGATAGGGAAAAGGAAAACAGTTAAAATGACATCCTGAGAAACTGTTGGATGAACAGCATACTTCCACAATACAGAACAGGATTTCTCTTCCGACAAATGCCTCCTGGCCATGGGAACAGGTTGCATTCCCCATGAAGGCCTCAAGCGAAGCCCTTGTACCAACCAGGTACCATAATGGACCAGGGCCTGGGGAGTGAGCTCAGCATGTTCCTGTGACACAGGGTCCTCTAACAAAGACTGTGTGACCAGCAGAGGTGTCCTGAGGATGAGCCAGTGACTACACCGACTAGGCCCCTGCCCACCACGGAAAGGGTAGGTGGGATTTCCCCATGGGATCACGTATAGCAACAATATATGAGATGGCTAATGTTTCCAAAGGTAATAGAGAGGTCATTTATGAATGCTGAATATAACAGCAAGATGGATATTTTAAATGGTTTAATCATTTGACAAATTAGTTTACTTTAGACAGCAATGGATTATCTGGAAGAAGAGAACATACCCTATTCAGTATGGGCCATATGAATGAAATGTCAAAATAGAAAAGCTGTAAATATTTACACCTATTGAACTACCAAGTGTAGTATCTGTATTCTCTTATAGGACATTGTTTTGAAGCCTGCGGCTTCCCCCGCTCAGTGTAACTGCTGGTTCTGTTGCTACATTTTTCCCTGTTCTCTTTGCAGGCAAATTCCAGGGATCTTAAAGGGGAGTTTTCTCACATGCTTCCTGAAGAAATTGCCTCTTGGATTTATTATTGTCATTTGTTGCTGTGGTTTAAAATTATAGTATACCTCTAAACATACTTATTTAAGATGCAAATATAAACAAGTGTACAAAGTATGTTAAGTAATGAGATTTTTTGTGATTTTTATAGTTCTAGTTGAAAGGAAAAATGCATTTTCCTAATTTTGTATTGAATTTTTAGGGAATGATATTGAGAACATTAACCATTCAATTTTGAAATTTCATTTAAAATTTCTGAGACCAATGCATATTGAAGTGTTATGTTTTGAAGTACAGTTGACTGTTGAACAACATCAGTTTGAACAGGCCACTTAATATGTGGATGTTTTTTTAATATATTAGAAAAATTTTGGATATTTTTTACAATTAAAAAAACACTTTCTTTTCTCTAGCTTACTTTATTCTAAGAATGCATTGTAACATACACGTAACTCACAAACTGTGTGCTACTTGGCTGTTTATGTTATCGGTAAAGCTTTTCTGGTCAACAGAATGCTATTAGTAGTTAAGTTTTGGGTGAGTTGAAAGTTCTAATTGGATTTTTTACTTAGAGGGCAGTTGGTGCCTCTAACTCCCAAGTTGTTCAAGGGTCAGCTGTGTTTTTATTTTTATCAAAGTAATACGTGTACTTGACTTAAAAATGTATTAAATGCTCATAGCCAACATATCCCTGGCCAGTCCTTTAGCCCTGAGTCCTTCTCAGTACAACTTGCGTTATTTATTTTGGTATTTACCTCCTTATTGCTATATTGTAGATTTACACATCAATGGTTTAAGTCATTAATTTTAGACATTATGATTATGAAGGTTTTGGGAGCTGCTGATATCTTTGAAAGCTAGTTGTGCTCAAGGGGTCTGTCAACTTCTGCTTTTAGATTTTCATTTTGCATCCCTGTTTTCATTCCAACACTTGCCTCCTGCCTTCCTCACAGCCTGGTAGCCTGTGTCCAGTTCATTTCTGGATCCAGTTTCTCCAGCACATGAACTTTCATCTCCCACAGGAGTGGGACGGAGGTCACTTGGCCACATGGGTCACAGTTGGCACTCTGGGCAGTCCTCATACAGACTGTCATTCAGCCTTCCTAGCTATAGCCTTGCAGCCCACCCAACTCCTATGGGCACAGTGGCCTCTCTGGGTGCTGTGGAGGTGAAGCAGATTGGATGGAATTGGTATGCCTCTTTAGACATTTCTCTATCCTGCTGCTTACAAATGCCTCTTCTTCTTGCTGTCCTCTCAAAATATGCTGATACCTCTCATCTCTGTGTCTTATCCAGTTCTCTTTGCCTATTTAAAAAGTCTTTTCTATTACAGGAGGGTTTTAGAGAAAATAACAATACAAATACTATATAAATGCCATCAGTTTAGACTGAGATATATATGTACATACATATATATTGTATATGTCAATGTCTGTGTGTTTGTTAGGGTTTTTGAGTTATTTTTTCAGTTTTATTGAGACATAATTAACATCCATCAGCTTAAGGTGCACAGCA